TCATTCCGGCATCCCGGGTGTTTCCGCCTATGTGAAAGCACGGGATCAGCCGAGGAACGGATCGGTACGGATTTCGTCTTTAAAACCTAGAGTGTCTACCTCACGGCTTGGACCCAATTAGCTCCTATACAGCCGTCGAGGAGCCTCTTTTGCATGATTCTTGCTAGTCACCCCGTGGATATCTCCAGCATCAAGCGGACTCCCGCCAGAGCATGTTGGGCCAGTCTTGTCATCAAGACTCGGACCCGGAACCTCAGCCAGATGCAGCACAAGGCGCCAATGGCGAGATGTAGCTCATGCAAGGACAAAAACATGACTAGTAGACCGGCTATGATGGTTCCAGGCAGAATTTTACCGGAGGATCACCGGCGGGAAAGTGTATTTCATGCCCATTTCGCACCCGACAACGAAGATCCATACTCTTTAACCGAAGCTAATAGGGTCGAACCTTCGACCCTTGGTGAAGTGAACCGGTACCATGGGTATCCCGAGAACTGATGCCTCGGACCCGGATGACCGGACGTCCAGTGGATTGGAGCCCCCGTGAGCGGACCGGCTCTAGTCGGAATAAGCACCCGGACCAAAGACCAAAGATTAAAATGACCAGTTTACTTTTTAATCTCGAAATGATGTTCTCATTCTATTAGATCTTTTCTAACCTGCTCACCAGGAATTGTGATGTTTATTTTTACAAGAGAGACGGAATAACACTTTATTTTTTTACTTTTTCGCCGTTACGGATACCATCAACAGACGTCTACACCGGTCCAACAACAACATCGACCGACCTTCGGATTTCGGCCGTGAGCTGTATCGCCACCACGGGTCGTGTGCGGAGCGGGCACTGGAGCGGTATGAGGCCGGTCCTTCGCAGGGGCTCGGACTCCCGCCCAGAGGCATGTTGGGCCAGTCGCTATGGCAGCCTACGAGTAGGCAGCCAGCGACAGTCCCGCTTCCGGTGTGCTGACTCACAACGAGTCGCACTCGCAGTCGAACGCCAGATCGGCCTCGACTCAGGCAGCTTTCCGCCCAGCCTTACGTCTCGGCCAACCACCGGCCTCGATGTAGGCGGAGCCACGCCCCAGCTTTACATCTCGGCCTACCAGCGTTCGTTCGCTCGTGTTGGATCTGCCCAGTGCCGCATTAGGCTTTTTCCCATGTTACGGCTCGATGTGCCGTTCATTCTTATTCACTAGCGTATCATTCACTGTACTTTCATGACACCGCTCACATCGAGCCTGTGTTTTGGCTCTCTGTACTTTATTGCTATCCACAATAAAGCCTTTTCCTCACTATTGTGATCCTTTGTTCGCCTGCTGTCACACGGCGACTTTCAGAAATTAGAAAGAGAATTTACAGAGTATTTTTGAAAGATGCAGCCTGAAGTGAGCGCAGCCTTGCATTCAGTGTTCTTCGCTATCCCAAAGCAAGATTTTCAAAAACTGTTGTGTGTTATTTCTGCTTCCTGTTGACCCACGCAGTTTTAAGTTTTTCACCACACAAAAAATTTACTACCTTTTTTGGATATCGACATTTTTTCACACAAAAAACATTCCTTCCTTTAATTATTCCTTCCTCAAGCCCAACCACATCATACGTCAATACGTCGATTTTCTCAATATTAGCAGGAATCTGCGGCAAAATAGTAAAAGGCTATTTTACCGGTCATACTGCGGCAAAATAGCTAAAGGCTATTGTGACGCAGTGTGCGGCAAAATAGTGAATGGCTATTTTGCCGGCCATAGTGCGGCAAAATAGCTAAAGGCTATTTTACCGCAAATACTGCGGCAAAATAGCCGCAGTATTTGGTTGATGCGCTGGCCCCACTGCGATCTCCTACCAGCATTGTGCAGTGGGACGGAGACAAATTCGTGATAATGTCAATGAGAATGCATCGCCTGGATTTGGACAAACTGCGCGAACAAGCCCATTTTCGGAAGCTGATCGTCCGCGTCAGCAAAATAGCCGCTGAGTACAGCCTAGCCGCAACTGTTAGTACCGAGCCGTTTGTCAGTTCCTTGCAGTGTCAAATAAATCTACTGACAGCCGCGCGGATTCCACCCGTTGGCTCCATCCAAGCAGTGGCTGTGGATTTGCAAGCGCCGTGCTGGTTGCGTTGCAATGGGACGGATTCAGCGGGACCAAGGAATCCGGGTATTACGACACACGATACGCCCCTTTTGGTTGTGTTCGGTCTGTTTTGGTTAGATGCTCATGTGAAGGGTATAAATTAGAGAATGTTACAACGCTAACTCGTGTCACTTGTCGCAGTAAAAAATTTCTGTTTTTTTTTCGTGTGATGGCTTGGGGCCGTTTCCGGCCAAGTTCGGCATATTTGCCCAAAGGAAGTAAAATTCCGAGCCCACTATCGTCGTTGTCGCGTGGCGTGTAGGAGTAATGGACGGCCTTCCAACGTCACTGAGTATCCGCAGCTAGCCAGTCTGTTGCCCACTGGGAAAACGCAAGATTTGGAAGGCCGGTTTCTTGTCGGTGCCAATGCTACGTTTCCGCCGGGTAGCACGGTTGGTGAAATGTACCATTTTTTAACCGTGGATGAAATGCCTGCTCATCAGCACCGCCTGGGCACGTACGCATTGACATAGGATAGTAGCAAGCGGAATGCCTGGTTTGTGAAGTTTGATTATACCGCCCACTCTTACTCTTTTTACGCTAATCATGGACTTTCAACGGATACGAACGGCAGCAGCCAGGCTCATAACAACATGCCACCTTTCCACACAGTAATTTATCTTAAACGCGCATGCTGAAATTTAAACTTTTGCGTTCCGTATTCTCATTCTTCCTGCTTTTTTCCCAAATTTTCATTGACGCTTAGTTTTTCGCAACTGGTAAATCATATTTTTTATAACTGTTAATCGATAACTTGAACGAAAATAGCGTTGACTGTCGGATTTTTTTGCTGTGCGATATACACGTACGAGATGCAAAAATAAGTAACACAACTTTGTTAATTTCCTATCAGCTGTGCAAACAAACTTTGGGTGACACATACAGTACAAGTACAGTTTTTTGAATAAGATCGAACCGCTGCCGAAGTTGCGTAATTTATCCTTAGCATCATGAGTCAAGGTCAATTATCATATTTATTCTTCCGCTTGATGTTTGCTGTAATACCACTAAAAACGTTCTGTGTGATGTGTAAGCAACGGTCGAAGCTCTGCGCGGAAACTTTTTCTGTTTTATACTAGTTCTGTATGACGTCTGAATATAAAATGCTAGTTCCAAAATAAACCCAAACGCTTATGATTGGAAGAATCGAATACTTGATGGCTTTCGCTCCTGTTTACACAAGACGTCGTTCAAGATTGCAACAAGGATGTCAAGTGTCCAAACCGAACCCCTAGCACCACGCAGCAGCGCTATCCAGGCAGACCGATATACGTACAGATATATTCTCCATATGTCGGCGATTAGTGATTGTTTTCTGCTCCACTGTGGTGTTGTACTAAGTTTCATGTCAATAGCATACGCAAGGAGAGGGTAGACGATGATTGTATTCGGATTCCAAAATTGTCGGTCTGGTATAATCCCTGCACACATGTGATTTGTAAGTTAAACGCTTTAATTAAATAATGCATGGTTTAAAGAAGATCCCTGGTTTTTTGCAAAGGAGAATAATGCGGTCGTTGAAGGCGTTCGGGTTTCGTGCTGTGAGAGCAAAAGGTGTCCACTGTGACTGCGTCACAATGCTCGTGCTACTGTGCATCGTTAACCGTTTGATGGCTGAGATCAATAGCGCTTCCGCTTTCTGTTATCACAGAGTACGGGCCAAAGATTACTATACAGCTTCTGCTTCTTTCAGAACAATAATGCTTGTACGCCGGTTTACATTCGTGAAAAGTACGGCATGCTGTGACTTACGTACTCTGCAACACAAGTAAGCTTTTGTAATACAACAATGCGATTTTGACCCACAATAATTTCCGCTTAGAAATATGAGCACGTTGACGTTAACTTATTGGAAAATCACTTTTGCAGCAATGTGCACGCTATTTGTCGCATGTAATTTTGGATGAACCATCAGTGTGCCAAGTTTTTACTACTTCCACGCTCGCTACACATTCCTGAGCTGATGAAAACTCTCCTGTAACCACACAAGCGGGTGGTCGACATTAGCACAATGTCGTTCCAGGATGTTGTGGTTTTTATACACTACACTCCGCATCACAAAGAAAGCACCGCAAAGAAGCACGATCTGATTCATCACTCATAGGTCACCGCGCCATTTGTGACTACGGCTAATTAACGCCAAGCAGAGTTACTCACACGTTGAGTTTGGTATGCGGCAAAAACGCGACGCAGCCGGCGGCGCAACCAGGTGAGCACCGGCACAAATGCGGGAGGAGTCGTTTACACAACAACACGACGCGGATCCGGGATGTAATGGATTAACACGTTACGAAAGCCGGCTAATCTTCTGCATAAACCGCATTTAATTCTCCACATTTAGACTGATATTAATACCTTCGCCGTTTTTTCTAAAATACAATAGTGTGCGTGATAATTGTAGCTGAGAGATTTCCCATGTGACCCAGCGTACTGCCAATTGCATCGAGTTTGACGTGTGGCAATTTACAGGATTCTAACCGGTAAGCATGCATATATACATAATTTAGCCATCGATCGGGAATGATTATTTTCAGCCATAAATCTCAGTGTACAGCGCTTCATTCCCATGAATCCGTCAATACGCGATATTGTATTTTGCAAACCATGTCAATGTGAAATAATTATGACGGTATTGTGGTCTGCTCGTACGCCCTTTCTGATAATTTATTGAGCACCATTTTATTATGGTCTGTTTACATTGTACAGATCGGCATCATCGCGCTTCGTCTGCCTAAAGGTAGCCTGGTTCGATTCATTTGCGCTGTAGAATGGGATTTATTCTGGCGATACTGTTCGTCACATCCGTCCACGCCCAACTAAATCTGGTGTCCATCTCCTCCGGGAAACGCGGTCATACCGGGTACCCAGTCATGGTGCCGCTATTCGAAGTTGTCGCCACGCAGCTGGAGCGGGATTATAACCGGACACTGCCCCATGTCTCGTTAATCACCAAGTATGGAAACGACACCGTGCCTTGCACCGAAATGGAGTTTGGGCTCATCCTGGACAATCTGACGGAGCTGTACCGTGACCGGCAGCTGGAGCGGAACGGATTAACGGCCATTATGGCCACAACAGGTATGATATCTTCTCATTGAGTTCTACGGTTACGCTTTTACGCAATTACGCGCTTATTCATAATTTCATATTTCAAACAGTAATATGCTAACGTGTAACGACTGTCTCCGTGCTTGTTTTTTTCACCACGCTCGCAATGAAAAATAAATACAATAAACGAGCCTGGTTCTTTCCGAACAGTCTGCGCGGAGATGTTCGCGCCACTCGGAGATTTCGCCCGCGAATCGGACATCTTGGCGTTCTCCTGGTATGTTAGCGTATTTTCACCGCTATAATTTTTAAAATTTATCATAAATTCTAAATCGATAAATAATATTGTTTTCTCTTTTAAAAAGATTCGACTAATGGTTTTTAAATTTACTGAGCTGGTTTTTTTGCCGGTTCTGATTAATAACAACTAACAAGAGGGGCACCTTTTGTAGTACATTAAACGACAAGGCCTTGATCAATCCCACCCGTTTCCCTTCGGTTATCTCCGCCGGACCCATCAATCTACCATTATACGGGCAGACATTCATGCAGCTCCTCGACCATTTCCAATGGCACAGCGTGGCCGTTCTCGTCGATGGACTGTCTAATGATTCTCCAGCAAACAGGGTCCGTTATTTCCAGACGTGCAGGTACTTTTTGGAGGCACTGGCCAGCAGCAACGTCCAGACTCGGCATATCCCCATGGACTCCGGCTCCAACGCCACCGGATGGGTATGGGCGCTGAAGAACGCGGCCGGCTTCACGCGCAGTATGTTTATATTGAAACTGAATTGCAAGATTGTCAACAAGCTACCAAAAAACGCTTTCTTCAGTTATCGTGTCCTGCACGACATCCATCAGACAGCGGACATTTCTGGTACGGGGAAACGTCACGAAAGTCACATGAGCTGATGAGCATATTAAAGTCTGCTGTGTTCAAACAGAGAGTGGCGGATGAATTGGGCATGTCCGACGGAGATTATGTGAGTCTCTTTTCCTTGTGGAACAGTAAATATTTCCCTTACGTAAACAGTACATGTGGCTTTAGGCGTTTATCATGCCGTACACGTTTGTGGTGCCAGACGATCTACCGTTCACATGCGACGACGATAATATTCCCGACAACAACAGCAATCTGTACTGCGGTCCCGTAAGCTAAATTGTACTGTGACGTGCCACTCAATTAACTTTCCAAAAAATGATGTTTTAATGTGCAGAGCGTGGTACAGTCCCTGAAGAGTGCCTTAGTCATCCAGCCGACGTTTCCGAAATGGGACAAAATTGGCCAGACGATGCGCGATGCTATGGTACGGCAGGGAGAACTGTATAACATCACCGATTATGACATGCAGGTATTCAAAAATCTCCGACGATTCTTGCTGGCATTTCGTAATTTCGTAGAATGATTTATTTGTAATACATTGCAGAGGAACCAGTTCGCAGCGAACTGCTACCAAACCGTGGAAAGTATCGCACAGGTACCCCGATGGCAGCCCTCTGCTACCGTGTTTGTAGAACGTGCCAAATTTAACCTTCCTTGTAGACATATGACCATTATTATGCCAGGTGGAGCAACAACACGAAAGTAAGCGGAAAGCAATTCCGCGAATATCTCGTCAACGCTACGTTTAACTTCTCCTCTCAAACCGTCCAGTATTCCAACGCATTGCGGGTCAGCACAATACAGATTCTGCAGTTTGACCAGAAAGCCATTGACTTCAGGGTAGGACGTTTGAAAAAATCAATACGCACCCTTTCGCGAACAACAAAATAAATAATAAATAAAATTATTCTTAAATATAAATAAAATACAGTATAAAAATAATAAAAATATTCTTAAAACAAAGACTTTTCAATTTTTTTTTGTTTTCTGTTTGCCTCGTTTTCTCAAGAGCATTTGTTAGGTTAAGCTTTAAACAGGATATGATGGAGTGTGGAGAACCATAAGAATGTAACAGTTAAATTAGGATAACGGTACGATTTTCATAACCTAAAGGTCATTCTGGAAACGGACAGCTTGCATCCTGGCGCCATGAAAGCGTACAACCGTTCGGTAACATGGCTACATGGGACCGCTCCACTAGACCGGCCAAAATGCGGCTTACACAACGAACTGTGCGTGGACCGGACCCCCATCTACATCGCCATTGGTGCCACCGTCGGCTCACTTTTTGTCATATCCTTCTGTGCCTGTGCCATCGTTCGTCTAATCCGGTAAGCTACTATTTGGCCGCCAAAACAGATGGCAGCCAATAATTGCAGTGCATGTTTAGGCGACAAGACCAAACAGCCAACGATGCGTTCTCCTGGTGGATCATTCCCGAAGACGACACCATCTTCGCCGACGTGCAGAAGCCCAACCAAGGCCGGCATAAGAGCACGCACACCTTGCACCGGCCGCTGAACGCCATTGCTTCCGCCCCGGAAACAGAAGGCGATGGACGCTACATGGAGATTCGCGGTGCGCCGTGCTGGGCGACCTGGATCGATCTGACACTCAAAAACACCGCAAGTGAAATCGCTACACCCAGAATGATGAAGCTGATGAATTCCGTGAGTGAAGAGAAAAAAATGGTTCAGTTTAGTTGGCCATAATATTGCTTAACGGTAAATTCGTGAGCGTAAATTCATGAGTAAAAAAACCTAAGGAATGTGAGAGATCAATAACGGCTTCTTTCTACTGATCTTTTTTGCCTTTACTCCGTTAAGGTGAACAAGAGACGATAAATAATTATTGAAGAATGAATAAGCAATTATTTAAATACGTACATGTCTATGAAAAAATATTCATGCAGTAAATTAACAATACAAATGCCCAATCAATGACGTATTTGCTTTTATATTTTTAGGTCCGTGCGATGCGCCACGACAATCTCAACCGTTTCGTGGGGATCCATATAATCAAACCATACTGCATCGCGGACGAATACTGTCCACGCGGATCAGTCGCCGACGTGTTCGCCGATGAGCACCACGCACTGGACCGCGATATGAAAATATCCGCCGTCATCGATTTAATTCGGGTACGTTATTAACTTTTTTCTCCGACCATCACTGCACAATAGCTCAGCGGAATGCTTTCAAACAGGGTCTCCATTATATCCACACCTCACCGCTACAATTCCACGGAAATGTAAGGTCAACAAAATGTCTTTTCACAAAGCTCTTCTCCCTGCGGATCGGCGATTTCAGTAATGACCGGATCAAAACCCTGCTTAAACCGTCCGATCAACGGGACACCGTGCCACCGCCCTGGAAAGCGCTATGGAGTCCGCCGGAAGTGTTGCGTCGTACCAAACCCCGCGGTGCCGCCACTGACGTGTACGCTCTGGGCATCATCATGCACGAGGTTTTTTACCAGAGCGGACCTTTTGCACTGGGACCGCTCGCCGGGATTTCGCAACAATCGGCTACTGGTGAGGAAGCTTTTTCCCTAACCTGTTTTCAAATTTAATGGATAATTGCCAGTTAGCCAACAATCGGCCACTGGGGCGCAGCTTTTTTCGTGACCTGTTTTCAGTCATTCTTAAAATTAATAATTATTTTCTGCTAATTTTCCATTTGTTACTGAGAAATCTCGAAAACAGGAAGTTCGAGTGTAACATTGATATCAAACTCAAATTCTGCCAGCTGATATGAAAAGGCAAAAATTCCGAATATTGAATTAATAAAGCTTGGGTAAGTTACATCAAAAATCAACCGATGCAAATGTTTTAATAATACGAAAGTTCAGTTTACATGAGCGCATAGATAACTAATGTTTAAATATTATTATGGTAAGTTTATTTCTGCAAGTTTTGCTTTGCTAAACAAAGTGCAATTTTCAAGAAGTATTTCTGTAATGGTCATCCTTGCTGTTTTAAACCACTGTCTTTTGAATTCCTGATTACTGTTTAGTTTTCTAATTTTAGTAAATAATTTTTCTGTCTTAACACGTACGCAATGAAATAATACAGTGCCACATTACAGAAACTGTAAATAAAGTGCAGCACCTGGACGGTGCCCCCTGGCGGCCGCCCGTTCCAGCCGCCACTGTGGGCCAGAAAGAAACCTCATTGTTACAATTAATCCGGCAATGCTGGAACGAAGAACCCGAATGGCGGCCCACCGTCAGCCAGGTGAAATCCTCCATAACCCGCCTATTACATCAGGAGAACATCGACTCAGCGGCATCTCTCATTGACCGCGTCGTGAAACGCCTGGCGGCCTACCATCTGCATCTAGAAGCGTTGGTGGTGGAGCGTACCCAAGAATACCTAATCGAGAAGAACAAGTGCGATGCCGTTCTGAAGGAGATGTTTCCCAGGTGACCCTTACTGTAATTTTACAAACTTACAAGGGAGTTTTATGAGTTGCATGACTAGGCCAATTCTGGAACAATTACGAGCCGGCAACGAGATTCCACCGGAAGAATGCGACAGTGTGACGATTGCGTTCTGTTCTATCGTCGGATACGAAGCGCTGCTGATGCGGAGCACCGTAGGGAATTTTATTGAGCTCCTGGATAAAGTGTACTCGGGATTTGATTCGGCTCTGCAGCGCTTCGATGCTTACAAAATGGAAACTATTGGCAGCAGTTACATGGTAAATTACTATGAAAAATAAGAAAAACTTAAGAAATGATTATCTATGCGATACCAAGAATGACCTTTGAATAATTAAACAAATCCTTCAAAAATAAAATAAGGTTTTACAAAAAATTTTCACGGCATCCTTCATTCAACAAAATTGTATTCTGTGTTGCAGCTCGTCAGTGGAATTCCGAATCGCAACGGCATCCGGCACTGCGAAGAGATCTGCAACGTTACACTGCGATTCCGCGCCTTATTCGGGAAGCTGTGCCGTTACGAACAGATCCTCTTCCGCTGCGGGGTTCATTCAGGTACAGCGGCAACAGATCCACTTATCAATTTAATTGAAAAATAATAGCCGACCGTACTTAACCGGTTATTCAATGTCTTGCTTAAAAGCCAACTGTAGTTAAGCGGTTCCGCTAATAAGTGTCTACTTTCATTAGGATCCGTTGCCGCCGGGATTGTTGGCCATAAAAATCCTCGCTACTGTTTGTAAGTGTCTCTGCAGCACATAGAAATCGGCCGAAGTACTGGTGATTAAAATTAAACGTTCGGATCGTTCCTCCGTTATTTTTCTTATTAATTGTGAATTGATTTCTCTCCAATTTCCTGTAAAGTTCGTGGCTTTCGTTTCCAAAAGTGATTTTAATAACGATTTTAGTGATTTTAGTGATTTTAGTAACGTGAAGTGATTTTAGTGATTTTGATTTTAATAAAAGCTTCAGCTTAATTCAAATCCAAATATGTGAATATTTCCATTTCAAAAATCCTCGCTACTGTTTGTAAGTGTCTCTGCAGCACATAGAAATCGGCCGAAGTACTGGTGATTAAAATTAAACGTTCGGATCGTTCCTCTGTTATTTTTCTTATTAATTGTGAATTGATTTCTCTCCAATTTCCTGTAAAGTTCGTGGTTTTCGTTTCCAAAAGTGATTTTAATAACGATTTTAGTGATTTTAGTGATTTTAGTAACGTGAAGTGATTTTAGTGATTTTGATTTTAATAAAAGCTTCAGCTTAATTCAAATCCAAATATGTGAATATTTCCATTTCCACTCATGTCTAATACGCGAAAGCCTGCTTGACGTTGGCCGATTCGATGCGGTACTCAATGTAAGATTCGATGCCAAACCTAGGTTCGGTGACACCGTTAACCATGCGTCGCGTATGGACTCCACGGGTGTGGCCGGGCACATCCAGCTGAGCGAGAACAGCGCCAATTTGATCCAGTCTAGTGGACTGAAGGTCACGTGTCGTGGAACCGTCTTCGTTAAGGTAAACATATCTCCAGCAGAATCCAATAGTAAATATTATCATGATTCAGACATTTTGCTCGCACAGGGTAAAGGAGACCTGAAGACCTATTTCCTCGACTGATTTCGAAGGATGCCTCAGAATAACGCATGGAAATCGCACAAGCCTGCAACGATGCAAGCGTATAATGCCGTTGTGTCTAGTCATCATTCCCATTCCCTGTGGTTGCTGCAGGCTTTTCTGGTGACATAATGGCCACTAATAGTGCAGTGACCCGAGCAAACTGTTCATGAAATGCCATTAAGCGACGAATAAAGTTGTGTCTGCTATTGATCGCACTCAGCTGGGTCTACCCAACCATTCGTTTTGATGAATGTTGTACATAGATAATACTCATACAAATACACGACTGTAGGTGCATAATACATCACCGTACATGAATTAATCAACGTCTTAATTGGTAACTTACCGTACCAGCGTAACAGATTATCAGTACTGCAAAGCAAAATAATCCTAAGAAAATATGTGTTCAGCGTAAGCCACGCGGCAAAGTGTAAGCAGACTTTTCAAAAGCAACTTGCTTCCGCACTTTGGTCATTATGTAAGACAAGTTTACGCAGCATTATAAGGAAAATTTAGAAAATAACATTCCCATTATCGAACAAAATTTATGAAAGCGGAAATATACTGCGGCCACTGGTACGTATATACTGCTATTTATTTGGTCGCTGCTCAGACAAATTTTAAAAAAACATCTTACAAATTGGTTTAAAAATTAAAAAAAACATTGTATTGAATATTGATACGTGTATATCTGATTTGGTGGAACAGGAACCATAATATTTACGTGCGTTTACAGTTTATTGGCGAAGAAGATTGGTTGATAATGCGATTCTAGTACCTCGTACATTGATTTCAATGATTTGGGTCGATAAATTTTGACACATAATTTATTTACCTATTTCTTTCTAAACCGACGCTGCGCGCACTATCCGCCTTTCCCTTTAACGTTTGCAAAGTATAAGTTATCTAGCCAGAGAATCTGGCCACGTTTTTCGGGTTTGGTATTGGGTATTCGCGATCCAGGTAGCAGCTCTAAATGATGCCAAAGCTGAACGGTTAATTTTCCCTACAGACGAGTAAATAAATAGGAAAAATATTTTGATACGAGTTCCTTCAAGTATGTTGACGTTAATTTATTCAGCAGCATGTTCTAAATGGAAACAAAGGTCTCCATAGTCATTTACAACTGGTTATGTAGGCAGACAAGATTCGTAAAGAGATATAATAAATATCTATATATGTAACAGTTACATGTGAAGGAAATCACTGCACTATGCCAATCTGCAAAAGTACGAAGCCATATTAAACCGCGCCAATTACGCCAGCGTGACACTCCGCGCAGCCCTCCAACGCCTCGTCATTAACACCCTTGTAAAGCGGAAAAATCGCTGTCCGTCAGCTGCAAAACTCGCACCCTTCATAGGTAGTTATTACATACCAAGTACCATGCCGAAAATTCCCAACAATACGCATAGCAGCGCTTAACCGCACTACTGCGCCGTAATTGTTGACGTAGCCGGCTATCAACGTCTGCTTCCACCTGGAGTCGCCTGAATAAACCGTGCACAGTATGTCACCGTCGAATCGGCTTTTTCAGCTGCGCTCTTCAACCACAATAAACGTATTCTCCCGCTGCACTCACACACTGTGTCGCGGTTATAAGTGACATAATAAGAGGGATCTTTTTTCCGCTTGACCGGAAGAGACTACCGGTACGGTGTATCAATTGGTTATTCCTGTGCTAATTAGCGTAAATAATACACAAGCGGGCGCCACCGCCAACAAAAACCTTTCTCGGCGTATTATAGCCATGTGTTGTGGGTGTTATACAAAATCAATAAGCTGCGTATTATATACCCTGCAACTGTCTCCAGTATGTCGTTTTCAGTAAGCGCCCCGATCAGCGGAAAGTGTTGCAGTAATCCCTAGCGTTTACTGCGATTGTATGAATGTCACTTTTAATCACAACGGTCGTCTAAAAGTGTCTCGGCATCTGTATCGCGGATTCTTCCTGTAAATGCACGGGAACAGGTAAGCGTGTTGAAGTGTTTTAGCACTAAATAGGATCCTGTAACGGAAACAGCGTAAATAATGCAGCGCATGAAACAGCGATTAGTAAGAAGTGTATTGATGGGCGCAACGCAGAATTATCCTACTTGCCAAGCGTAATGGTCATGAATTATGCAGCCGTGAACGAAGCAGGCTAATATCATCGTCTGTTTTCAAGCTGGCTGAGAACGCGCTTTACAGCTGCTTGATTCTGCACTTCGCTTTTTTGGGGAAAAGAGTTTACTCACGCCGGATGTGTTCAGCGTATCTTGTATCTACTTCCTGGTTGTCAAAACTGGCTTCGGAAATCCCTTATGGCACCGTTTATTTTTAATTAATTTGTGCGGTTGTACTGTACGGTTTGCTCGGAGTATTACGTAAATCCAGGCGCTGTGTCAATGTCCCATTGATTGGATTAGATTTCCTCGTGCGCAGCGTGGGCCATGGCAGCACTACTGTTTTATCTGCGTCATGCTATACACTGCCTGGCGGAGATTTGTGGATAGTAGTGGGAAACCATTTCTCCGTGAAACCCTTCGACCGCCACGATATTAGGTTGTTCTCTAGTGAAACTGAAACCCTGATCGAATAAGCTGTCTCTCTCTAATTACGGAGAAAATCGCGGAAGCACTCGAGCAAAAGGACACGTTTCGCGTCTGCTTCCCACTCGATGCTGGCAACCGTTGCAGAAAACCTTTTTTTATTTTTACGGCTAGCGCTTGTAACAGTTTTTAACGCACGATTGTAGCCACTAACCTGATCTGCTATGTCTACAATTTCTGGGCACATCCGGAAAATTTATTAATTTATTTTCTATCATTGCAGAATGACGCTGATAATCTGCTTGTTCTTGCTCGGTATCCGCACAGCATGGGCGCAGCTGAATCTAATCACCATCTCACCAGGGATTCGCGGCCAGACCGGCTACCGCATCATGGTGCCGCTGTTCGACGTGGCCATGCGGCAGCTAGCCGAGAATTACACGCACACTATCGGCCATGTCCCCATCATCCATGGCCACAATGACAAGGCGATCGCCTGTCTAGAATCGGAGCTGGACCTGATCATGACTAATCTGACGGAATTGTACCACAGCGGCATGTTGGAACGGGACGGACTGACCGCAATTGTGCCGGCCACAGGTCTCAACCATAAGCTTGCAATTTTGCGACAATAAACGAATGATCATGGACCGTTTGCGTAGCATAGTTCTCTCTAGCTCACTGAGTTTTGAACGGTTGCAGTTTGCGTGGAGCAGTTCGCGCACGTTGGGGACTTCGCCCGGGAATTGGATATTTTTGCCTTCTCTTGGTAAACGCCGTTTTAATTAGGTCTTCCATTAAACCATAATTTGACAGTGAGGCGCATTAAAATCTGCACAGATGCAGAGTACATCAGTCAGGAAAATCGAATAAGCTGCAGACTTAATAACTACCGACTATGTCATAAACGGTTCGCAAAATGATGATGCTGCAGCGCCCTTAATGACCAGGCGATGACCGATCGCAGCAGGTCTCCCTCCGTCATCAGCGCCGGCCCGATTAATCTGCCGCTGTACGGACAGACCTTCATTTACCTGCTGAATCACTTCAACTGGGCGAGCGTGGTCGTCTTGGTCGATCAAATGTCCGGTGACCCCAACAATACCATCCGTTACCGGGAGACCTGCAAGTACTTCGTGGAAGCCTTGGTCCCCACCAACATCCTCAATAAGCGCATTGATTTTGACTCCGATAACGGCACCGCCGGATGGATTAGGGCCATCAAAGCCGCCGCAAACTTCACGCGGAGTTAGTTAATACGATCAGAATCAGCAATTAAACTTAGTTGTTTGGCATCAACCAGTTTATGTATGAATTACATAGCCTTATTTTATTTTGGCTAAATTACAGAGTAATTTGATTTAATTTATGTATTCTGCAGTTATGGTGTCGTGTACGACGTCTAAGAAGCAGAAGAAGTTTCTGGTAAGATTTTCACTAATTTATTAAATTTTTTCTATGTAGTTCAAATGCAGTACCATTAGAAGTATATCTTTTATACTTAGAGGATTGTGGACGAACTGGGAATGTCCAGTGGAGATTATGTAAGTTTCAACTGAGCAGTGAAAGAAACGTGTGAATAGTACACGTTTGACGACCTACTCACTTTTACTAGGTTTTTATTTTGCCTTACACTTTCGTCGTACCCGATGACCTTCCGCTGGACTGTAGCACAAACGCCACGCTTCCCAGCAGCGATGACTACTGTGATTCGGTAAGCGGGTTCAATACTTTTACCAAAATGATTAATACTTTAATAACTTGACAAAATTTCGACCAGAGATATATTGGTTACAGAGGACGCTTAACTCCCTGCGCAGCGCCTTAGTAATCCAGCCCACGTTTCCCAAATGGGAAAAATTTGCAGAAACGATGAAAGATGTGCTGGTGCGCCGGAAAGAGCTATACAATTTAACTGATCACGACATCGAGGTTCGTAAATCGAATAGCGCTGATGTTGTCATGAAACCACCAACCTTCAACGAAGTATTGTTTCCAGCGGAACCAGTTTGCGGTCAACTGTTACGAAACCATGCAAAGCATCGCAGAGGTTTGTCAAAATAAACGTTTATTTTTCACATCATTTGTCTTATTAGTGCATTACTTTTGCCGTTTTGCAGACATATGACACGCATTATACAGAACTATCGCGTACGCGGAAAATCAGCGGCCGGCGGTTTCGTGACTACTTTACCAATTCCACCTTCACCTTCGCTTCGCAGAAGGTCCAGTATGCTAACGCTCTGCGTGTCAGTACCATTCAAATTCTACAGTTCGACTGGGACTCGTCAGACTCTCAAGTAAACCACGCCGCTTGAATTACATTTCTTCCTGTTCACTAGAACTTTGCGTGTAGGTCATTCTGGAGATTAACAGTCTGAGACCGACAAATCTTACCCGGATGGAATATGTGCCCGTATGGCTGCGGGGGAATCCGCCGCCAGATCGTCCATTGTGTGGACTGCTTAATGAATTATGCGCCGACCAGTCCGCGACGTACACGGCGGTGGGTTCGGCCGGGGGTGTGCTGATTCTCATCAGTATCACCGTCACGATCGTTGTGCAGTGTATTCGGTAAGAACCATGCCATTAATTTGTTGCAACAGTTGGTTTTCCTACTCGCATGGTTTGTTAAAAATTTATTCGGCTTCGGCCAGCATACATAACAAATCGCTTGCGCAGGTTTACACTAATTAAAACCATTAACGCGTTAAACGCGTTAAACGATAAAGGGACCTTCGATAAAATATCAACTACACAGTCTACACTGAATTTTATTCTAAAGGAGTTTTATCGACAAACGCGTCGATGCGGAGTCTAAAATATGGTAGACAAAACAGCGGTACTCTCTGTGCTACAATATTACCATGTACTGACCTTACAGGCGCTTGGGCCGCACCGTCAACGACGCTTTCTCCTGGTGGACGATTCAAACCGAGGAGATAGACTTCTCCGATCGTCGTGCTAGTCTGATGGTCCAGAGACCCATGCCGACAGCCGCCGCGGCGTTTGCAGACCGTCTTATTGGACTGCGTGGGTCTCCGTGTTGGGCAACGTGGGTGGACTGCACAACGAAAGGCAGCGCTGACGAGTTTGCCACGCCGCGCATGATTAAGCTGATGGACATGGTACGGTTTGACTTTCCAGAAATCCCAAGTTTGCGGGAGTATATTATGTTTACAGGTACGGAGTCTGCGTCACGATAACATCAATCCGTTTGTGGGAATCCACTTATTCAAACCCTGCTGCATCGTGGAAGAATACTGTCCACGTGGCTCTGTTGCTGACGTCTTTGCGGACGAACATCCATTAGACCGCGATATGAAGATATCAGCCGTCATCGACCTAATTCGGGTTGGTCTGTTTTACCGTGTTACGAGCCAAATAATGTAACGGAACAGGAACCTAATCAGCTTGAAAAACTCAGTAGCGCACGAGCTCATCAAAAATTTGAAAAGCCCAAAAACTTTAAGCAAGTGTTCAAACTTTAAAGAATTCGAAGAGTCTGCAGAATTTCAGAACCTTTGAGACATTTTTAGGCAAACGTATTCCGCAGAAATTTGGAAATCCCAAGAGATTCATATAATACATGTGCGGGATCTGAAAAACACTTTATTTTTCGGTGCAAAGTAACTTGTCGCTTTTCTGCAGGGTTTACATTATATCCACACTTCCTCATTGCACTTCCACGGCAACCTTCGCTCGACCAAATGCCTCTTCACCAAACTGCTTTCCCTGCGCATCGGTGACTGCAGTAACGAGCGGCTGAAACCCATCTTGAAACCGGTCGAGCACAAGTACAGCCCATCGTCACCGTGGAAACTGTTGTGGACGCCGCCGGAGATACTCCGCGGGACCAGATTGCGCAGCGCTGCCACCGACGTGTACGCTATGGGCGTGATTATGCACGAGATCGTCTTCCAGAACGGGCCGTTCAGTTTGGGCGCCGTTGACCAGATTTCGGTGGAGGCAGCAACCGGTAAGACATACTCCATGGAATACAGACAAATTGCCTGAACAGTATTAGTGATGTGTTACTAAATAAAACTAAATAAATGCTATTTAGGTAATTAGTAAAAGCTTCCCTAAAATTAAATGGTGTAGTAAACCGTAAAGTTTTACAGGCAAAATTAGTAAAAGTAAGTAAATATTCAGCTACAATAGTAAATAGTAAGTACACAGTAAGATTTGGCTTTCGCTAAATAAGAATTATTTACTAATTCATTTACTAATCGAATTTTGCGAATAACGAGATGAAAGACTCGTTGCTGTACTGGGTAGGTCCATCATTAACGGCGTTGCATACTGAAGTTGGTGCCTTAACAGACGGTGGTATTGCTGTTCACGTAAACGCAATGTACCGCCAACCCGAAACTGCAAATACGTTACGTATAATAATAGGGATTTGAAACACCGCAATGCAGCAGCAGGCTGCTGCCAGAATATTTTGCTGAGATATACTTCTGCATATAGTAATTACCATTTACACAAACAACGTTAATGTTGCTCCATATTAGTTCAGGACGTTAAGATAGCTTCAGACTGCATCCGGCTACCTGTATGCAACTGTATTTAACCGGAGCTGAATGTTGTTCAGAGGTTCTCTACGCTATGGAACCGAATGTAATTTGACTCAAATTACATTCGGTTCCGCGGAAGGTGTATGTAAGTGTGAAGTCTCTCCGTATTGTAGTTAATATTTATTAATTAACCACACATCAGTACAGTCGATACTGAATGATAACTGGTAATAACAACAAGTAAGAAGTATTACAATAACAATCGTTGCTATACGACAATAGATACAGTCTATATATGTACGTACACTACAACTCGCCCTTCACTTTTTCAGTCGTAAAAGTACAACAACAATCGATGAGCATTAAGTACGCTTCTTGGCAACGATGTCCATTCTTGACATAAAGTTCACTCTGATAATTCTTTCCAGTACGTACGCCCTTCAGTTTCAATTCACCTTGGCTCTTACAACACGTCGTACGGATCCCTTTCTACCGTGACGTACTTGTTTCCAATGTTTGAACACATTCGGGCTGTATGTCCTCTTTGACCACAATTGAAGCATTCCTTCTCCTTGAAGAAGCATTCATTAGACGTGTGGTTTGACTTACCACAGCGGAAACATTCATCTTTATCGTGACTCTGATCTCTCTTTCCTTTCACTCCTTTCTTTCCTTTCCATTTTCGGACTTTCTTCACTTCATGATCCGATTCACTTTCAATTCCAATTCCTAATTCCTTTCTCTTCGTTTCGTTCTCTTTAGCTTCCTTTAAAGCTTCATTCAGTGTCTTAAAGTCTTTTAGACTCATGACCTTTCTCGTCACTGCATCCTTCATTCCCATTACAAACACAGCAATTAGGCTTTTCTCTTGTTCGTCTTCTGGGAAGTCGCAGTGTTCCACCTTACTCCTGAGTTCGCTGGCAAACTGTACCAGCGTTTCCTCTGTCTTCTGCTTCGCACTGAAGAACTTGATTCGCTGCGCTATCCAAAAGGTCGACTCCTGGTATGCCGCGTCCAGCATTTCATAGAGTTCCTTAATTGGCATTTGCATCGGTTCTTTCGGCTTGCACATTTTGCAAAGAAGTGTGAACGACGAATCCAGCAGAAATGAAGACTGCATTGCGTCCGGTACTTTCGTTAGAAACAAATGGTTCTTCAGGCGTTTCTTCCAGTATGGCCATTCATCACTGTCAGGGTCGAACTGCGTTATCCTCAGCAGTTGTTGTCCCGGTACGCCCACCAATGTTTCTCCCGTCGCATTTGCACTGTCTCTCGTTTGGCTTTGGCTCAGCGGCATCGCACTTTCTTCCGCACTCCAGCCGTCACTTTGCCACTGCTATCCTCTCTCTCCAATCAATATGAGTCCGATTAACTATCTTCACGCCATTGTGAAGTCTCTCCGTATTGTAGTTAATATTTATTAATTAACCACACATCAGTACAATCGATACTGAATGATAACTGGTAATAACAACAAGTAAGAAGTATTACAATAACCATCGTTGCTATACGACAATAGATACAGTCTATATATGTACGTACACTACAGTAAGGCTTATAAAGAGGTGAAGGTTATAAAGAGACTCCCCCCTATGTTATAACATGCGAGCCAATTCGGTTCCTTACAGGTTGTATGCTATAGAGAAGTGCATTTAAAAAAGAAGTGTATGTAATGAGAGGTTTAACTTTACAGTGAAACTTCTCTACAACATACACCCTCCGTTCAAGGCTTTCTGAATGTTACAGAGGGGTGTATGTTATACAGAAGCACTGCCCCCAGGGGCACTGCCCTCAGGGGCTCAGGGGCACAGCCCCCGGGAGTGTTACTTAACCAAAAAATAAACAAATTATCAGAGTATGGACATTATTCGGTCTGAATGTTGGTTTTGCTGCCATTTTGTATGCTTGGAGCTGGAAGATCCGGTACTAATCAGATTAAAAACAGAAGCCGGAACCTTCTTTTAGAGGCACCGAAATGGTTTTCTTCACCAGCCTAGTCAACCGTATGTTACACAGGGGTTGAAAAAGCTGGGAAAATTGTTAACGGTTCCATAAAAGGTGTATGTTATAGCTGTAAAGTGGTGAATGTTATAAAGAGAACTGCCCCCGTGTTATAGTCTACCGGGCGGTTTGGTTCCCACTCCCAGCTTCTTGTATGCAGTAAAGGGGTGAATGTTATAAGAAGGTGAATGTTAAGAGGAGTTTCACTGTATCATATTTGGGACGCTTGTACATTTCATGAAAATACACTGTGTTTAGGCGAATCTGTATTTATACTGTATTTATGCGAAATATACTGTATTTATGCGAATCTGTAGTCTGTAAAGGCAAAATCGGCAAAATCTAGCAGTACAACTGTGCTGCAAACTGCACAATACACTTGCACAATACACAATACACTGCACTTGCCAAGCTGCTCTTCAAGTGCTAATCATACTTTATGATGAACTCAAACGAAGTTTGTATTTTTTAATGTACTCGTATGTAATACAAACTTGTAATGTACAACAGATTCTTGCTACTGCCTTAATGTTGCATTTATAAAATACATGTACTGCGACGCCCCCCACCCCAAATTATAGCAGCGCCCCCGGGGGCAACTACCCTTTATAAAATACACCCCGGTATAACATACAAAACTGATGGAATTGTGCCTGTATTTTATCGAGAGGTTTTACTGTAATAACAGTGAGTTAAAAATTAAATTAAGTTTATTTAGTATAATTAGTAAGTAATTGGTTGGGAAAATGGGAATAGTAAGTAACAGTAAGTATTTGAAAAACCTTGGGGTTAATAGTAAGTACTAAATAGTAAGTAAAAGTTTTGGAAGATTAGTAAATAGTAAGTTAGGTAGCAGTAGTAGCACATCACCAAACAGCATGATACCACAAAACCAAACACTGAATGTTTTGGCTGTGCTGGCTAATCGAATCTGGACGGAGTAGTGTCTGACTACAGGCGTAATAATTATGAACTGAGATAAATGGCATTTTTGAATTTGCTAAATGCTGGCAAAATTGTACACAAAATCTGGTATTTGTACCTAAGAACTTTTGGAGTGTCTCGAATTATATGCATATCCCTTTTCACAGAAACCGTTAACAAGGTACATCACATGGACACCGTTCCGTGGATGCCGCCAGTGACCAACGCACCGCGACTTCAGGAAACAGCGCTGCTCAAGCTGATGCGGCAGTGCTGGAGCGAAGTGCCGGAAAAGCGGCCGAGTGTCGGTCAGGCGAAATCATACATCACCGATATGTTGCACCAGCAGAACATCGACTCGGGTGCGTCGCTTATTGACCGCGTCGTCAAACGCTTGGCCGGCTATCATATCCATTTGGAGGCGCTGGTCACCGAGCGAACCCAGGAGTACCTCGCGGAAAAAACAAAGTGTGATAACGTTTTGCTGCAGATGTTTCCCAGGTATCTTACTGTGGCCTCTGTGTGGTAAATCACAGTACAGAAGAATTATTAAATGTTTTATACTAAAATAACGTGAAAGATCTCTGATACAATGCTGCAGGCCTATTCTAACGAAACTGCGAGCCGGCAACGAAATTGCGCCAGAGGTATACGAAAGCGTGACAATTTCGTTCTGCTCGATTATTGGCTACGAAACGCTACTGGTCAAAGAAACTCTGGGGAAATTCATCGAATTCCTGGATCGGGTATATTCGGGTTTCGATGCGGCGCTGCAGTCCTTTGATGCACATAAGATGGAAACCGTTGGCACCAGTTACATGGTGAGCTTGACGTGTCTATCGTTGTGTAATGGCTAAAGGTTTCGAAACGTCTCCGTTCACGAGCTTGGCTAGTAAATAAAATAGTCAAGTATCGGTTAATTTCCATATCTTATGAGTTTGTGCTGCAGTTAGTCAGCGGGCTTCCCAACCGCAACGGCGTTCGGCACTGCGAAGAGATTTGTAACTGCGTCCTGAAATTCCGCTTATTATTTCATGGATTGTGCGCGTACAAGTACATCCATCTGCGATGCGGCATAAATTCCGGTACCGATTAAGCACTTATCAAATTCCGGTTTTTCGGCACCAATAAATTTATCCATTTTTCCGGGTTTATCACAGGCTCCATAGCAGCCGGCATCGTGGGCCACAAATGTCCTCGATATTGTCTGTATGTGCAACTTCTCATAAAAATCATTTTGCAGGGTTTTTCTTGAATCTTGATTACACGATTGGTTTAGATTTGGCGACACGGTCAATCTGGCATCACGTATGGACTCAACGGGATTAGCGGATCGCATCCAGCTGAGCGAGGCGAGTACGCAGCTGACGCAGTCCACCAAATTAACCGTTACGTGCCGGGGCACGATACTCGTGAAGGTCGGTCTTTACAAAGATAATAATAATACTGAAAAGGTCACGATGTTTGTCTTTGCAGGGAAAAGGCGAGATGACTACGTACTTTTTAGACTAAATTACACAACTTCACCAAATCTTTAATTTGACAACCTTCGAAACAGCGGAGAAAAAATTACTACTTTTTTAATATTAAGCGTCGGGAAACTTTTAAGGCTCCCAGTTCACAAGCCAGCCGATCGCTCACAGTTGCCTAAATGCAATAAAAACTAACGCTCAACGGTCAAACAAATAATTTTCTTTCCCGCCTGAATTTCAACTTTTGCTCTCGCTGCTTATTTAATGCTGTACAAAACTTTCGTCTTCTCACAACTGACATTTTATGACAAGATCCTTCTTTACACTGATTAAAATAATAAAAGATAAAAAATGTAAATATCACAGTTAACAAAATCATGGCGATCAGAAAACACTGTGCACTTTGTAGTAAATATTCAGATAATGGTCATATCGTTGAGCTTGTCCGTCAACGGATCCATTTCATCGCGGAAAGTGGTATTAACAGACGGCAGTGGCCGACCCTCATAGATCCACTGCAGCATCTCATTGTGCGTCGTCAGATTGCCTTCATACAATAGCGACGGACTGGTTACTTCCGGGATTTTCCCGAAGCGCTCGTACGTGTGGATAGCCGCGGAATCCTGCCAGTGTATTCTGCCATACTCATGGAAGAATGACTAAGAACACAGCCGCTTGATTAAATCGGTATGAAACAGAACGCGAAATTAGGTAAATTTTGTTCAGTTAATCATTTCAGTTTAAAACATCACAGGTGAGTAAAACGCACAGATAAGTACAGTAGTTTCAGCGCGTTGGTATCCGTATTCGTTAGTTCTGCATATTATTATTTATTTTCACTACGATTATTTATTTTTGTTACCATTATTTAAAGCTTGTATATATTTAAATGAACGCTGTTGTTGATATTCGTTTTTTTATTAATTACTAATATTCTTCGACTAAGTTGGTTGGGTACACTTGAAAAAACCATTTATAAAAGGCAAGAAAAAATGCAGTTGTTGTCGCCGCTTCACTTAACTATAATAATCAAATTCTTAATGCACCAATAATTTCGGAAGCTTCCGCCAGACGCTGACGCTCTTTACCTCCTCTTAACCGGCCATTAAATCGCACTATAAAACCCACTCACCTCAAGATCATACGGATGCGGATTATTGCACGCCATGCCGAGGACATAATTCTCCTTCTGATACAGTATACTCAAGTACTTGGCCACGAACGCCTGATTGAAGTTCCAGTCGTTCACATAAATATCCTCGTAACTCCGTCGCCAGGCGTATAATAGCTTTGAATCCGGCCAACCGGCGATTAAGCCAATGTTATATCCGTCTTCATCGCCGTAGCACACGATGGACCGGCGTTGCGTTAGAATCTTTTTAATCCGTTCGCCCCGGATGAAGAAGACGTCGAAATCGGCGACGACCCCACCGAATTCGAGAAGGACGTCTAGTTTGGATATATCAGCCGAATGCTCTTTAAAGCCGATTTCCTTCGTCTCACCGAACCGGTGCCCGACCGTGCGGGTGGCGTTGCGGAAGCGGTGCTCGACAATGCGGGTCGCCAGGGCGGCGATCCAATAGACCCCTGCAACGAAAAAAATAAATACAACGTTAACAATATGACAGATTATATTATGCTGTAATAAATTACGTATACTGTTTGTTATACTTTTTAACAAAAAAAACGAAAAAATTTACTGCTAGGCATTTTTGTTTTTAAAAAATTCCAGGTATGTGTAGTAATATAAATCAACAAAGAAAATGGAAGGATCCGTTTTATTCTTCAAACATCTCGAAGCAATCTAAATTACTTAAGAAAATATTTTGAAGTTATTAAAACATGCAATGTTTTCGAATAGTTCAGATTTGAATAAACTATGCTGCAAGAAAGTGATTCCTAACTCAACAAATATTTCATACGAACTGCGCGCTATGTGCGTACACATCAAGGATAAAACAAAAAGAAATAATTTTATTCTTTTTTCCCCAAAATTAAGAATATGTACCCTACAATATTGAATATGTTATATACATAATTTCCGATTTTTAGTTTTCACAATAAATACAGTTATGGGAAATCTGACGTTACATACAAGCAAAGCCTTTTTCATGGCCCATGAATTTCGGCCGTCCAGTGGATATAATCTTTAACATAAAGTGAGTTTTTATGCCGCCATTATTAATAAAAAATAAATGATGGCTTCGTTGACTTCGTTCAACGTGGTCAAGTGCACCTTTTTCCTGCCTTTTTCTGTTGGTATTTCTTATGTTGCTGTGAAAACGCTCGCTTAAGTCTTTACCGTGTGCTTCTAAAAAAAATTGAGTTTGAATCAGATGGCAGAACCAAAAAATACAGCCAAAACCAAGCATGTGAATTATTACCATTTTCATAATAATAACATCATAATTTTTTGCCAAAATATTAAAATATTGTTTTATAAAATTCATACTGTATTATACATAGTTATTAAAAAAACTTAACTGTAAAATATACATTTTATAGCAAAATGCTTATTATGATTCAACTTTATTGTTTTTTATTACAGCGGCCTTGTAGTTTACACACTATAAATTTACGGTTTTTTTAGGGAATTTCATGAGATGCTTATTGTGAATACGTGCCGTCGCTAAAATCAATTATAATACCGATTAAAATATCAGTGCACGCATCTGCTTACTAGTTATAAGCATATTCAATTATTCAGTCAAGCAGCATAATGAGACGCATAAACATTCAACACGACTCTTACATAAAATTAATAAAAAAATTCACCGGCACACAAATCTGCCCCAACAACAGAAACCAACAGAATCACGTACCGGTCGGTATCATATCACCATGGACAATAATCCGATCCGGCTTTAAATTATTCACCGCCGACATGACGCTCAAATAATCCAGAAACCGAAACGTCGTCTTCCCGTTCTCCGGTTTAAACCTGATATAATGCAGATAAAAGCGTCCATTATAGGGAAATTTCCTGCCAACATACTGCTCGGCTCGCATCAATCCCATCTGCCGGTCGGCGATGGTCAGCAACAGCGCCGACAAGAGCGCGGATACGACAAGAAGTCCCAACAACATCCATGTCACGCGGAATTTCTGCGCCGATGATGCGACCATCGTTTCGCATGGCACGGAAAAATTATCGCGTAGATTGTAGTTTTTGAAACGCCGGTTGTAAATGTGTGATTGACAAAGAAGGCCAGATGTTGCATATAAGAACGACATAAACGTTCGAAGTCAGCCAGCCGGTGACCTAATCAGAGCAGCGCGAGCATTAACGATTCGCTGCAGAGAGTCTGTGTGTTGTTGTTGCGGTGTAGAAATCCTGTTAAATAAGATTATTCAAAGAATACCGTGTGCGCAACGGGATGCGCTCTCGCCACGATTACATAATTTTTTAAATATGTGTCAGTTTGCACGGAAACCTCAGAAACCTAAGAAAAAATTAAGAAACCTAATAAACCTTGAAAAAACTGTAAAAAAATGACAAAAGTTTACCCTTAAGATTATTATGAAAAGGCCATTTAATATTTTTTGGAAACTTTTGGAAATTTTTTGCTAATATTTTCGTAAAACACTTGGGTGAATATTACCTATATTTGCTCAGAAAAAACCATTACAATTAACGCTGTTTTGTATTACTAGTTAGGCGCGATTCAAGTATTACGTAACGGAAATTTTCAACTTTTTCGACCACCCCCTACCTTTTTGTGACCTTTATCCATGTATTACTTATGGGTGGGTAACGCCAGCCGGACCCAGCCCCCACCCCTGAGCCGTTACGTAATACTTGAATGCCTTAGAGGACCTAGTACATCATTTTTAAATTAAGCAATATTTAGTAAAAAAATTTTAGATTTTGAAATTTAGATTTTGCGTTTTCAAAATTAATGAGGTTAATCTACGTGAGTAATTAAATTTGTCACGTGGTTTGAAAAAAATATAATTTATTAAAAAATTGTTTGTGATTGGGCACACGGTGCAGCAATAATTTTATGCACGACGTGTGCGCACAAATACGGCAAAACAGACACCGAACGTTTGTCTGATCGTACTGTAATTTATTTTTTCCGATATGGGTCAGAATCATTACATGAGTTGCAGTATTAACACGGTTTGGTCTTCACGTGGCCAGCGGATGACGACGCGAGCGAGATATGTCTGTAGCGACTACGCGCATCTTCCGTTTATTGTCCCATATCGCTGCTTTCACTTCTGCACTTGCGAGACGCACCGCTGCCGATCATTGACCAGCACGCTGTATTGGTCCTTTACCGAGCCAAACACGCCACTCTAACAATGTAATGATAGTGAAAACAAAAAAGAAAAAAAAACATTCGCGGACAAATGATAGGAAAAGCAGTACAAGGCCAAGCCGGGTAGCAGAAAATTACAAGCAAAATTTTCATTCACTCCAAAGGAAAGTAAATAACATATTACCAAGAAATTACTTGGCACCTAGTACACACAGAAGTATAGCAAGTTAACACAAGGTATGCTACATTGTAATCACAACGGAGATCAGCCGCACATTAGTTGTGCTGTTTCCAGCAAAACAAGCGTAACACAGTTAACTCGAAGACTTTAAAGTCGCTGTCGTCACTGACGCATTTCCCGGGGTAACAGGCAAACTCGGCGTCGTCGCCGCTGTAACTGGGTTTGTTGTCGTCGCAACGGTTGACACCGTTGTCGACGAAGCAGTCTGCGTTACTGATGTCGTATTGGTGGTAGCGGTTACCGAAGAAACGGCGTGCGTTACCGGCATTTGGGTCGCAATAACGCTAGTTGCACTAACGGCTTGTGTTGTCGCAGATACCGCCTCTGTCTTAAGCGGTGTACTATCCATCGCAGTGGACATCGAGGAAGCGTTCTGCATTGCCGGTAATTTCGTCGTGGCAACGGTTCCAGTAACGCTCGCTGTAGTCGCAGATGTCATCACCGTTTGGACCGACGCACTCACCGTCGCAGTAGCCACGGAAGTTACGTTGTTCTGCGTTACCGGCACCTTCGTCGTAACAACGCTCGCCGCATCACTGTGTTTTATTGCAGCCGTTGTTGCTTCCGTCTTTTGGGTCGTCGGGAGCGCCGTGGTGGTTGTCTCACCCATCTTCAATCCAGTTAACGGGTCCATCTCATCGCGGAACGCCGGGTCCGCTGGCGGCAGATATTTCCCTTCGAACAGAAACTGTAGCATCTCCGCATTTGTAGTGTTAGTAAAGTTCCCGGTGTACAGATCTTCCGGGCGTTCCATCACCACCCCGCTGTGCCGGTGATACGTGTGGATAGCCATTGAATTGGTCCAGTTCATCTTCCCGATCTCTTTGAAAAACGCGTGCAGCCCGTGCGAGTGTGGGTTGTTGCAGACGGCGCCGGCAACATAATTGGAATCCCGGTATAGGATACTTAAATACCGGCAAACCTAGCCACAAATTTGATAAATCACTTACAAAAAAATAAAAATAATAAATAATAATAATAAAAATAATAATAATAGTAAAAATAATAATAAATAATAAATCTAATGGTGGCTTCACAGAAAAATGTAGACGAACCTTGGCTTGATTAAAATTCCAGTCGTTCTGGTAGATATCTTCGTAGCTGCGTCGCCATGCAGTGAGAAGCGGCGCCGACTTCCGGCCGGCGACGAAGCCGATGTTGTAGCCGTCTTCGTCGCCGTAGCACGTGATGGACTGCTTCAGCTGCAGGACCTCCTTGATACGCTCACCACGGACGAAAAAGACGTCAAAATCCACCGCGACGCCCCCGTATTCCAGTAGAACGTCCAGTTTAGCCATGTCGGCGGAATGTTCTCTGAATGCCACTTCTTTTATTTTACCGAAGCGATGACCAACTTGTTTCGTTATGTTACGGGAACGAAACTCAACGATGCCGCTTTGCAGTGCTGCTTGCCAATACATGCCTGTAAAAATTTTACAAAATAATTAGGAATTTAGGCGAACCAATGTAAAGTTATAATAGTACAAATCAAGGGAAAATTCATAATACAATAAAATCTGTATATAAAATTGGTTATTAGTTACAGTATTTACAATGTAGGATTAAGAAAGTGGAAATCGGCCAGTCAGTTTCCAGTTAGAAATTTTATAATAATTTCCGCAGAAAACGTACGCAATGCATATAATCGCTACAACTTAGTCTAAAGTTCTCCCAACCGAGAAGCGCTTCTTTGCGCAATATGCGGTACAAAAAACCATCTAGCTTTTATAAATAAAGCATCCACGACTGATTTTAAACACCAATCTCGGATATTTAAAATATAATTTATTTGCGAGTTATTTTTCTCACCAGTGGGCTCCGCATCACCGTGGACGATAATCTTATCCGGACGAAGGTTATTGAACGCCGACATCATACTGACAAAATCCAGAAACCGCAACGTCGTATTCCCGTTATCCGGTTTAAAACGAATATAATGCACAAAAAATTTCCCATTATACGGGAAGCCATCGGAGAAGAAGCCCACGCTATCCTGTAGGCGATACGTGGACAGACTGGCGATGCTGAACCACGTCGCTACTCCCATGTACAGCACCACCACCAACAGTAAGACGGGTCGGGTGCGGAAGGTCGGACGAGCGGCCAGCATGGTGTCGTTAACCGGCAGCGTCGCGGCGCTGCAGCAGTGGCGGTGCGAGCAGAAGATTGTGGTGTGCTGATGCTGTGTACAGCGGAGGAGCATGAAGAGCAGACAACGCATATCGCCGCGGGCTGAATATGTTACCACGCAGTACCTGTTTATACGCCATATAGCACAGTATACGCTGATAGCGCAGTGTTAATTACAGCTGGAAAATATCACAGTGATTATGTATTCCTTCGAGTGTGACGGAGTTGGTATGTAACCGTATGTTATATGCACACTATGATGTATTTCACTTGGCAATCATTTAGCAAACGGTTAAATTAATGTAGTTCAAAATTTGGGTAATAAATTTTATTAGACTGCAGTAGTTGTTGGCCTGTTATTAAAATTAATAACGATGAATTGCCAAACTAATGTTGCCCTTTTCTTGAGCTTGCGGCAGCCACAGCTTAGTTGCTAAGTCCCCAACAGGTACTATAGGAATGCACTTGACATATTTCACATTGATCGACAATATACGTTAACTCTCGTAATAATTTTATAACTGGCGTGACAGTGGTGTATTTTACGCTTACCGTTTAATGCCAAAGTGCGCAGTGTAACACCTGATTTGTCAGTAGGATAAAAATCCAGTAAAAGTGGGATGAGTATTCAACAAACATGCCAAACAGTTAGTCGATACTCTATACAAATCCAGCAAGATGTGCCACTTTTCTTAATCACCTGTCCAGCTACAACAGCAACAGAAAGTCGAACGGCCAGATCGCCAGACGGTTCATCCAGGGTAGGGTTGTTGATACCAAATGATATTTGGTATTTTGGTACCAATGGTATACCATTTACCACTGGTATTTCGGGCGTTCTCCTAACGGTATTTGATGGTATCGTGGTATACCACCGATGATATACCACTAAATACCAGTGGTATTTTCATGGTATACCAAAATACCAATACCATTAGGTCCTCCAGACAGCTGGTATCAACAACCCTAATCCAGGGTATACCTGGAATTTGGAATTGCGCGCCGCGGCACAACAGAAAGGAATGTGCCTTTCTTGGCAGTTGGCACACACTTCAACACTTGCGTGGCATGTCGCGCTTTCTACAATGCGTTCCAGTGTGCAATTTGTGCCGGAAGATTGAGAAACCAGCTAAAACTTAACCAAACTACATACACTAACTCTAATATTAGTAATTACACAAAAACTAAACTTTTAAAAAAATTAGAAACAGCTGTATGTATGCCGATAATTCTTAAAATTTGTTGAGCGAACTAATCTTTAATTTTTATTCTCATCATACTTCGGTTGCCATCATCACTAATCCCTCCCATGCGACGCGTTCCGTGATTACCATGCCCCTGACGCAAAGTCTGATAATCACTCAAATTAATTTAACTTTGGGAAAAAAACGTAGACTCAGATTTTGCTTCGAGTTGATAACATGAGATGAGGCGACTTAAAAGCGGTATTTACGTGTGTCAATATATCCAGATTCAGATTTATGTTGCCACGAATGGGATACACCAGAGCCGGTAAACCATAAACGGCTGGCCCAAACCATTTTTATATTCGGAAAGTCCGTAGTTGAAAACCCGGCAAGATAGTATTCATTCCTTTCGAAACCTCTCCCGCTTCGAACGCCAAAGTGGAAGAATTCTACCTTCACCAAAATTATTATAATAAAAACATTATTATAATACCAGCAGACCCCGCGCAAGTTGCTGGCCCCCGGCCTCCGGCTGGCATGCGGCTGGCTGACACTCCGAGCCGGCTCAATCGGCTCGGCTAGCATCGGCTACGGCTACAATTTGTGGTCGAGCCGACTCATCCGAAGCCGGCTTAGCCGCGGCTCAAAAGGCTTCGGCTGAGCCGTTGCCATCCCTACTGAGCTTAACTGTCTGCGACAACTACGAGTACTCGTACTGTGCACTAACCCTGCACTTGACGGAAATTTGTACGCGATGAGCGATACGGTGCTATACAGTATAGCCGGATAAACGTTCAGCCAATTCAGGTTCTAACATGAAAAAGATGCAAGCCGTGTATGTAAATGATGAATGCGCTCCTCCAAATTCGTATGGCTGCACTGCACAAATTTCCGTCAACTAACGATTAACGACGGACGGCCCTGTTTCACTCATAATATTAGTTTATTTTTATGCGCGCTGAGTGGCAGAGTTGCTCGGTTACCTCCCTGTCCAAGCATAGCCAGGATGATATGTGACGGATTCGGTGTGCACGTTCTGGGCCGCGACGGTCGACTGCGCTACGGCCGCGTGGTCGACGTGGCAGACGACGGGCTCTTCGTCGACATGCTCTGTTCCAACCGACGACGCGAATTCTGGTCAATCGACAAGTGCTTTTCGTCTGAATTTCTATCTGGAGACGTCCTGGCAAAACACTACGCTGCAAATTACAACTCCACCGTTTCCGTGGTCGTCCTCGTCCCGGAGACTCCGTGCGGTCCGTGGATTTGGGTTCCCGGCGAAATATCCTGCCATGGAGGCGGTGTGCAGTATGCGTTCTACGAAGAGGTGCTTGTTCGTTGGCACGATGTCCTGACGGGATTGCCCCGCACTGATGTCGTCCCGATCGACCGCATCCGCTGCCTGCAGGAAGGGAAAGGACGCTGTGCCGTTCAAAAGGTCGAATATACAGCACTTCACCCGCGCATGCAGCTGGGTACGTTCACTCGACACAGTGTGCAGTTAGACGGGCAATTGCGATCGCTGTCGACCACGGAGGCGCAGACACTCATCCAGCGTTGGAATACCGGCATTCTGTGGTATGCTTGCCGGGGCATCCGCTTAGTGGACACCGTGGGCGACCGGTTGGACTACTTGCTCATTTCTGGCTGTGTTATATCCGACCCGATTGAAACATTATGCCTTCTGGTAAGCAGTGTTTGGTTTTGATGTTCAAAGAAAATGACCCGATACTTGTGAAGCTCTTTTTGTAACATTCTGTACCATTCTTCAAATAAGTGAATTGTTTAAAATGGTCTGAAAAACTTTTGCGCGCCGCGCGCGTGTAGCCGGCAGAAAGGTTTACGGGTTAATGGTTCACGATCAAAGGCGCCGCGTAAACCTTTCTGCCGGAAGCGTAAACCCTTCTGTCGGCGGCATCTTTGATGCGTAAACCTTTGTGCGGAGCCATTGTTTCCGTTCTATGATGTTACAAAGGCGTTGTTGTGCGCATTAAGGCCCGTAAGCAGTCGTAAAAGGTGTGCAACGAGAACAAATGCGGCCTCCCTGGAAAATGGAAATGCCGTACAAGTATGCATTTCGCACTCACATTTTTGCCGTTCCAGTGTTCGGTTTATTTGCACAGAAGGGTTGAAAGTTGGCGCGGCACACGAATTGTACTGAAATGATGTATGGCCGTTACAGGCAGAAACCGGGCAGTACGTCGCCGCTTTAAAAATTTGATCGCTTGATAAAAAATCACTTGGTCTTATTGGTGACAACCTTCAATAAAAATAGTGCATATACGTCTTAAAAGGGTTCATGTTTTCACTTAAACAAACAGCTGAAATTGTTAGCGTAGTCCGACGTTTTAAGTACGCATATTTGTGTTTAACGCGGCAGCAGAATTTCCCTTAACAACAGCCAAGCTTAAACACTGCTTCAAAAATGTCTTAATATGAGGTTGCGTACGTTTGATGGCTACCCGGAAGGTTGATGTGTCTGAATGCTCATGATAACGTCCTTGATCGAATCACAGAGTGAAAATAAAGGCCCAGCAAAAAGGTTTACGCTGCCAGTGAAAATGGTTTACGCATCCGGCAGAAAGGTTTAAGCTTCAAATGTGCCGCCGGCAGAAAGGTTTACGGATCCAGAAAGGTTTACGCAGTTCGGCAGGAAGGTTTAAGCGGCTTCTTTGATCGTAAACCATTAACAGGTAAACCTTTCTGTCTAAAACCAGGGCGCTATCAACTGAAAACCGAGATACGGCTGAAAAAGGCGCCGATGGGGGAATCGAACCCCGGCTACGTCATTAGATCCGCGTAGGCAGTACCACTGCACCACGGCGCAATACGTTGAAATCATTTGAAGGATTTTATCGCTGTACGTGGGCCGCTTCTCTGCTCACAACTTAGCCATATGCCGATGACACGCGCGCGACTTCGGATTGCCGAGATAAAATGATTTAAAATGGCCAAAAGTTCATTGTCATGTACGAGTACAAAAAGGCTGATCATTTTTTAGGAACCTTGCTGTAAAGCGCACATGATCAGAAAGTATGTAATTACATAGTGTATGATCTAAAAATGACTTTTCCCATAATTCCAAAATTAATTTTGACATTTATTTATTTCTACACTTATTTTTACTCAGAAATCAATGCTATCGAACTAACGTTGATTCAGATTCCACTTTATTGCATTATTATGCGCAATTTTCAACCAAGTTTCACAAAAATTCGGGTGGCAATCTGACTTTTTCTGCACAACAATGCAATGTAGTTTCTTCGCCCATTTTTAATCGGCATTTTTCGGCAACCGGATGTGACGAGCGCAAAAGATTTTCAGAGCAACGTAAACAAATTATTTAGCTGCAAAAAAAGACATAAAATTTCGCGCAAAAGCACTCGAAGTGCGCGGAAACGGAGATTTCTTTGTATACGATTTTGGTATCCTCTGCCAAACCATTTCCTGTAAGAAAATTAGTATTTAGATAATGTGCTATACTTGAAGTATATGATTTTCAGAATGTAGTGAAAGGTTTGCAAGATGAGTGGACCTGGATGGTCAAGATGATGATCAGGGATGACTACAGCGGGCTGCCGCCGGAACTGTGGCGGGAAGTGTTTTCCCAGTTGGACACGGACACGGTGTCACAGACCCGGCTACGTTTCGTCTGCTCCACGTGGAACCTGCTCCACGTGGAACCTGCTGATGGATTCGCCAGCGCTCTCGGCTCTCATAGTCCTGGAACGCCGTTGTGTACCATGCAAACGGTTTCCATGCGAACATTTTCACCCTGTATCGTCGGTGGCGCTTTTCAAAAGTCTCCGTCCAGCCACACGCCACGTGGCGTTGGTGGATGGAGAGGGAACGATGACGACGAACGACTTGCTGAATATGAGCGACATGTTGCTGTACACGGCCAAGCATCGACCAGAGATCCGATTGGCCGCGCTGCATCTGATTGGTTGGCAGATTTCATTCCTGGTCAACCGCGTCACCGACCACTATGGAAAGGAAAGCCCGTGTGCGCAGCATAATCCCGCTCGCTGGTTTGCTGAAACCTTTTACCCAGACCGGGTTCGCGAACACTGTCGTCTGCAGGATTTCATAAAAATTTTCAGTAGTTTGCCGTGCGAATCCCTGCGCATGGTCAATTGTACGGTCAAATGGTTCTGCCCATTCGACGATCACGGGAGTAGAATCAGCGTAGAAGGGATAGCGCTACGGCTGACATTCGGGGCATCAACGTTGGCCATGGACCAAATCGGCCGCTTTTTCCAGAGAAGTGTGTGCATTTTCTGTTGGCGCGCATTTGATCTGTTTCACTGATCACGACAATGAACATGATGAGTTTGCGCTTTTGTACTTTTTAAAATATTTCAACCTGTTGATGTCTTACTAACTATTTATCATATGCTATGTGCATTTTTCCGGAAAATGTTGCTACGGAGATTTACTTATCTGATTTCCGGTATTGTTTTCGCTGGAAGACACGAGAGCTCTCAGAGTCTTAGTCCAAGTTGTTGATAATAAACCACAGTTTTACAGTTGTTTCTAGTCAAATTTATTCCGCGCTACTTATTAGGTCGTTTGCAACTTTAGAATGTAAGCGTAGAACAAATTGGCCCGTGCTCAAGCTCGAACTAGGACTACTAAAATTTGGACTCGGCCCACACTTGGACTTATCAGCAGGGCGCAATCCGAGGGAAACCGAGAAACGGCTGAAAAAGGCGCCGATGGAGTAATCGAACCCCGGCTACGTCGTCAGATCCGCGTAGGCTGTACCACTGCACCACGGCGCAGTACGTTGAAATCATTTGAAAGATTTTGTCGCTGTATGTGAGCCGCTTCTCTCCTCAACAGACTTCTTAACTTGGACTTCTACTCTTTCAACTTCGACTTTTCTTAGGTTTCTTGGGTATCTCGGGGTTCCTAGGTTTCTTAGTTTTTTTAGGTTCATACGTTTCTTAGGTTACTTAGCTTATTAGTTTTTTTCTAAAGGAAAGTCCGATTTAGAAGTCCAAGATTTGAAGTCCAAGTTATGAAGTCCAGGTGCGGTCCAAGTGCAACTTTTGAAAGTCCAAGTCCGAGCTTGAGCGCGGGCCGAACAAATTAAATTCATTTCAACCCGACAGACAACTGTATCATTAGGAAATACCTGCTCATGTCGCGTGGTTTTATGTAATTAGACTCAGAGCGTCGCCTAAATATTTCGCCGGATATCTTCCTATTTTAACATACGAGTTCAGAGTTGTAATTGCATCAGTTTCTTTCATAATCAAAACCAGAGACTCGGCAACAACCGAAATATTCAGTCAATGCGATCTCTACAGATGTTTGTGCATTACCTGTCATTTATTAAGCTTAAAATGCTCTTTGGTTTCAAGTCACGAATATTCAATAAACAATTTAATTTGGAGACAGCACAAAATGCTGGCCAAAATGTGCGGTACAACTAGTACAAAATAATACCGTGACAACGGTAAATCAAGACATTATTTAAAAATTAATGAATCACACGGATAAATTAGGGAATAGCAGTGCATTGTGCGCAAGCAGCAAACTGATTTTTTCGTTGCTGTGGCGAGATAGGCGTAATGCGAAAGGCAGAGGGCGTCGATTACGCCACTAGAAATACCAATGAGAACCATCCAATGAGGTGAACTCAATATGCGGTGCTTCCGTGTCGCTGAAATAGTACAGAATGGCCGGCGCACGCCGCTGTCACCCTGCTTTCAAGGTGACCTAGGAATAACGAACGAATTAATAAAACCTTATTGGTGATTTGCGTTGGTTAGAAGCATAGCGTCGCAATCGGCAAAGTAATAACATATACCCTGTACAAGCGTCTTGCGTTCCCCGTATAAGAATTCGCTGGCTAACCGGCTACTGTTTTATTTTCGGCAACAACGCATCGCGTATGTCTGCTGTTAAGGGAAGTGGCCTGGTACATGGTACCAAATTTGTGTACATGCACGAAAACTTTTAGCTTCGCGCACTCCCAACCACTTTTTTGTTTTGGTATACGACGTTATGTAGCCAGAAGATTTGTATTCACTAGCGTGAAAACCGAAAATTCGACTATATAAACTTTCTAGCCGACCAAAAATAATTTGTTTTTCTCGCGGAAAATAGCGCGAAAATTCTCGAGCTTTCTTGGGACGTCATAACGATCGCTTATCAGTACTTAAGAGGCAGCCAATCAGCGTGCAGGGGAAAGTTCCCATAGCCTAACATAGGGTGAATCATCATTTTTTTAAACTTTTGCACGCGGCTCGCATTCTGTGACGTAGGCAGAAGTGCAAGACCACTTAACCTGTTACGTCACACCGGTCAGCACAGTAATATAGGACGTACTACACCGTACTACTATTACGTACTGTACTGTACCATAGTACTGTATACTAATACCCTGTGTACTGAGTCACCAACAGACACATCAACAACAACAACAACAATTCACCGGACGGTCCTGACACTTGGAAATTCCTGAACCAAAAGACGTTCCTGATTTTACCGAACATCTTCACACAGAAGATGTTCGGTAAAATTTTTAACAGTTAGACCTTCTCTTTCTAACTGTTAAAAACCTTTAAGGCTCCACCAGAGCCGACCTGACTCGACAACAATGTCGAACCCCGAGAGAACGAATACGCCAGAAAGTTCAACACGGACTATTCTCGGCGTGCGAATACGACCGGAAAGTACTCACTCCGGTACGCCGGTCAGGAAAATAGTCAGCCGTCCTCAACCGACTCGACTTAGGCGGCCGAGGCAAGGGAGAAGCGTAACGAACGGATCCTCCTTGCCGACTCGAATCCGACATCGGATGACAGTTTTGAGGATGCCCGGGATAAAACATTTCTGGAAGCCCCAGCTGACGTAGCAGCCCCGTCCCACCCGAACGAATGGGATGTGGAACAGCTGAAAGCAGGGACCACATTGTCTCATGCCGACCGACAGTCGAGCTCACACAGAGTCAAAGATTCGGTAACGGTCATAAAGGCCACCGAGCTCGGACGGCGATCACCCAACAGGAAGGAAGAAGTGCCGAAACCGACCTCGCCCAACATGGACATACCGACTAACGAAGTCGGACGGCAATCGCCGACCACACAGGTCGAGCGAAAATCTCCGACTAAGGAAGTCGGTGAACAACAACCGACTGCACAGGCCGATCAACAAATGGTCGACCAGCCCGCGGCAACAGACGCCGACCATCAGCAGGATGACCTGATCGAGGCCAGCTGCTATTATTCGACCTTGTTGGTCGGCTGTGCAATAGAACAACCGACCACGGAGGTCGGGCAACAGATGCCGACCACAGAGGTCGGAGAAAAGGAAGTCGGCAACAAGCAACCGACTAGCCTGGAACGGCAACCAACCGACACAAAGCCATAGACTCGAACGGAGAAAATGGGAACGCGATATGACCGATGCTAACAAAGGCATCGCCACCCAACAAAGGGAGATCGATCGGCTCAACGCCATACTGAAGCGAGCCAACTTACCGTGCCGACACGAAGTCGACGAAGTCGCCATACTTACTGGCAGACTCGAGCGGTCAACAGCGGCCGTCTTCGAAATCAAACGCGAGCTCGACGAGGCGCACAAAGCACTCGAAGAAGCAAAGAAGGACTTGGCCGACGTACAAACGGCGTTGGTTGAATTGGAAATGGCAGCACGAGCTTTCCACCAGCAACTTAACCAGGCCAACGAAGAAGCCGAGGTCTGTCGGAACGAAGTCGATAGGTACGTGGTGGAACTCGAGAAGGCCGACAATGAGATCGACCGGCTAACGCAACGAATCGACGAACTCGAGTCGGAAATGGAGCTCCTCCTCGCCAGAATGGGACGTCCATTTATCGACGCACACACTCGGCAAACAGGCCCCCCCAACCAAAGGACAGCCGATGCCGATCTAGTCGAGGCAAACGCTTAGCCGGCCGACCAAGTACACGGATTGAACGAAGTCCTTAGGGAGGAACAGAAACTCCGAGCCCAGCTGGAATACAGCTTGACTGAAGCCCAAAAAATGAATGAAGCGCAACAGAACCGCATCGTTTACCTGGAAGCCCGCGAAGTCGAACTGTACGGCTTCGGCGAACAAGCCGCCCGCAATCTCACAAAGATGATGCGGCAAATGGATGAGATGGACACGGAAACACGGTGTCTAAGGGAGGAGAAAAAGCACCTGGAACAAAGCCGGGCCGAACCTCCCTCATACCGAACATCCATAGCACAGGATCAACAGCAGTCCCGAACAATAAGCGACATCCTGTCGGGCACTAACCCGGTCCTGGAAATCGCGAAGAAGGAGAACAACACCTTCTACTTCGTCAAAGTCGTAACAACCGACCCGAGTGTGGGAACAATCCCACAACCACCGATTGTACCGAGTGCTCCGGAACCGGAACGCAACACGTCGACCGCGACACCACAAGTGTCAACGTCTAACGCGGCGACAACAACGTCAGCCGGTGCGCATACTAGCACCTCGCACGCGACGCGGACGACAACGTACGCGCCGGTACCCAATGCATTCAACCCGTACAATGCAATGAGAGGAGATCGGACAACAGATTCCCTACGTCCTCCAATTCCGCTACCGAGACCCGGAAAGGAAGCATATCGCCCATCAAGGACGAATTCTAATCAGAACTTCCCCCGCCAGAACTCGCCGTTCGACCCTGAACGGGCGAGGGCTCGGTCATTTAATACGGCCGACCAGCAGCAGGATGGACAGAACGAGGAGGTAAGTTCCGACCAACAAGGTCGGGTGCCTCCACACCGACCTACACAAGGTCGGATGCCGGCTCAGGGAACACAGCCCAACCGGTACGGAAGAGTCTACGACCAACCGAGTGGATTCTATCCGCAGGCGCCGAGACAAAATCGAGCGCCGCCTCCACAGCCAAACCAGTATTGAGGACAGCCACAACAGCCTCGTCACGCAGACCAGGCAAAGGCTTGGTATCCACAACAGGATGGATACGATGGCCATGACGACGAAGCCTACCAACAAGAGGCATACGAAGACCAACAAGGTCACATGTCATATGCCAACCCGCCACCCGCCCCGGCTGCACAACAAGCTGCGCCGGCGGTACACCCGATTCCTCTTGGACAGGACCCAACACACGTCGCCTTGGTGCGCGCAATGCCCACGGACGTCGGCAACCTTTGCCGCCGTTCGACGGTGACCACACCAAGCTTCATGGGTGGCTCAAACAAATTCGAAGCCTTTATCGTCAAGCCTAATAATGGTACGAATACGATCAGACTTTCATGTCCGACTTGGTAACCCGATTGGATGGCCAAGCGGAGGAGTGGCATACTCTCGAGGCCGCCGGAAAACCACTCGGCGGATGGCCAGTCAACTTATGGCT